ATTTGGTCATCATGACTTGAGAGCCCTTGACTGGCATTCTGTCCTTTTAAGGGGGTCTCCAGTGTGTCTCAGCTCTTTCTCTTTCAAATATGATGCTGCAGTGTCCTCCCCCCCCCCAAAAAAAACACCATCACTTGCAGCTACTAAAAGAGTGTCCAGGCGGTTTGAAATATTCTGAAATGGGTTTTGTGTGTTGCCATTCCTGGCGTTGGATGTGTGCCCATTAATTTTTGTGTGTGTAGAGATTGCCCCGTTTGTCCTACGAAGAGTGCAGAGGGGCAGCATTGGTAAAGGATGGCATAGATCACATTGGCAGAGGGACTTGTAAACAGGCCCCTGATGTTGTGTGTGACGTTGCTGCGGCCTGTAATTGTGTTGCTACAGTAGGTAGAGCCCCAGACTCCATATCAGCGTTATGTGTCAGTGGTTGCTTGGGTTTGGGGGCTTGTCTGTTAGCAAGTATGGGTCTGTCACCAGTTGCTTGGATGGGTGAAGTATTGTTGTCAAGGATGGCCTGGAGAGCCTGCCTGCCTGCCTGCCTGCCTTCCCTCCCTCCCTCCTTTCCTTTCTTCCATTATGAGCCCCTTCCTTCCTTCCTTCCCTCCACCTCCCTCTCTTCCTTCAATTTATATACTGCTGTAAACTGAGCAGTTTACACAAGATTAAAAGCTCACAAACCCTTAATACACCACAATAATACAAAATACAATTAAAACAATGCAGCAGTAGAACAAATTATAATTAGGACCATAAAGTATGAGTCACCCTCTGAAAGATCTGGAAATTGTCTAATACAAAAGACGTCTGCCTTTTCCCACTACACCTTTGTTGTCTCCCTTCAAAGCAACATGTATGCCTTTGCTTTGCTACCCCTGCCATCTCAACAAATCTCTTCAACCAACGGAAGGTCCAACCAAGCCGTGATCAAGTCGGTTTTGTCTGTTGCTCAAGGACAAGCTGGTGATGAACTTGCTGAAACCTCCACAGCCTTTTGCAGTGACATGTTTGCCAAGCGTTCAGAGGCCCATTAATTAAAGCCTGTTTTTTGACAAAATATCTCTGGAAAGGCAGTAAAATAACTGGAACAAAGCAATTCGTCTTACTGAAGCGAGGAGAGGGTTCTTCACAGCGCAGGCTGCTGGATGCCGACGGAATCTGCCTTTGTCCTTTTCCAGGGCGCCAGCAGGAAAGCCTCTGGATGGTATCGGACAGCCGTAACGGTTTGTGCTCTGCTGTCAAGCAGGCTCTGCCGGTGCAGGAAGGGACAGGCCGGCCGGCTGATTCCTTCCAAACACACAGGCTCAGTTTGCTCCTAGAATATCTGTACCTTGGCTGTCAAGTTGGTTTTGCAGCCCTGGCGTCTCAGAGAATATCAAGGGCCCAGGAAACCGGCAGCCGTGTTCTGAAACGTTGCCTTTTCTCTGCGGGTCACCTTCGTAGATCCCCTGCGGAAAGGTTGCCACCCTCGAAAAACTTCATTTAAAGTACAGGAACAAGCGGCTCTCTCTGTATAAAAGCTCCCGTGTGGAATCCTTTTCGAGTATGTCTGTTGGTGATGCACCTTTTTTCCACACACGTTTGCTTCCCTCGTGAGACGCGGGCGAGGAGTCGTCCCCAAACCCAAGGGGAGGCGAGGAGCAGCCCACAGGGGGGCTGACCCCGCTGGCCAGGCCTTCCCGTGGGGCTCTTGTGAGCTCTGCGTGCCTTCGGAGCCAGAGGAGTCCCACAGAAGAGAATAGCCGTGAAGGGAATCTTGTCTCACTTCAGGGGATTAAGCACTTGTGAGGAGGGCGCTAAGGCGGAAGACGGGGGCCGGAGCACACACAAGCGGATGTCAGAGAAATCCTCTTAGCCTGGAAGAAGCCTCTCCCTGCCGAGACTTTGGACTGCGAGGGACGGACTCTTGACCCTCCCTCCTGGCCTGCCAGTGCAGAGGCGCCTCCGGGCGCCTGAGAGAAAAGCCGGTGGTGGCCCCGGCTGTGGGGGATGCCCCGACGGCCTCAGAACGTTTTTGGGGCAACGATGATGCCGGGGACCCCTAAGGGTGACAGGAGTTGCAGAAAAAGAGGTGTGGATGAGGATGGGTGATGCTGCCTTCGACCACGCCCAACAACGCCGACGCCGACGCCGACGCCTCCTCCGTGGGGGCCCACCGGAGGGCCTCAGGCTGGGGAGGGGGTCTTCCTTTCCTTGCCTTGGCCTCAGGGGCCCAGCTCCTCTGCACAGAGCACGCCGGGTCTCTGGGCTCACGTCTCACCGGACTGGCGCAGGGAGGTGGGCAGAGCGCTGTACAGCCCTCTTTGCTTCCAAGGGGGGGGGAACGGCTCCCCTCAGCCTGGATTCGGCACCTGGGTGGCACCGGTGCCCATTCCTTGAGATGCCCAAACCTAAGGAGGTGCAGAGTTAACGGTTGGGCTGAAGCCGACTGGGGCTGCTTGGGTCAGACGCCAGAACTCCGGGCGTGGCCTCTGGGTGGCAACCAGGTGCCCGAGCAGATGGTGCACACACACACACACACACAGAGACATATGCAGGTGCGCGCGCTCGCACATACACACACAGAGACCCCTTCCGGAGCGGCTCCCTGCTTGTTCTCACCTCTTCTCCTGCCACCTCCTCCTCCTCCTCCAGGTTCAGGAACTGCAGAGCCCGCCTCGTGCCAGTCAGGTGGTGAAGGACTGCGTGAAAGCCTGCCTCAACTCGACCTACGAGTACATCTTCAACAACTGCCAAGAGTTGTACAGCCGTGAATACCAGACGGACCCCGTGAGTTATCTGGTGCCGAGGGCGGAGTGACTGGGGGGCCGGGCCGTCTCTCTCCCCTCAGGGGAAAAGGGGAGAGTGGTCCCCCAGGCGCCCCGCCGGCAGCCCCTCGTTTCCTTCCCTTTTGGCTGTGGAGGCACCCAAAGAGGAACAAGGCAAGGGCTAACCTCCGGCGCTGCTCGCCTGAGCTCAGGGCCTCGGGGGGGGCGGGGGGGCTCCACGTCTTGAGCGGTCATCCACAGGAACCCTCTGCCTTCAGCGGCATCGCCTGCGCCCTGGAATCCCTTGCTTAGGTTCTCCCTCTGCCGCAAGCGACCATGTGGCGTGGTGGGGGGAGCGGTCGTGGGATGGCAGAGGCCGCGGTGGGGAAGAGCCGGGCGAGGGCCGGTCCTGGTGCTGAGGGCTCTTCCTTGGGCTTCAGAACAAAGCTGCGGAGGTGCCGGCCGAGGAGCAAGGCCCCAGCATCCAGAACCTGGACTTCTGGCCTAAACTCATCACCCTGATTGTCTCCATTATTGAAGAGGATAAGAACTCCTACGCCCCCGTCCTGAACCAGTAAGGAAACACCTGCTCGGGAGGCGCTCCCTCCACGAGTCCTTTTCGTTTGCCCTCTTCGCCTCTTTTCATATCCTCTCTTTGTGCAGAAGGACACCGGCCGGTCTGTTTGTGTCTTGAAACAGGAGATCGCTGGCATGGCCTTTTGCCATGATGTTCTCCTGCCCAGTTAGACCTCCCCAGGGTTAAATACAAGCCGGGCTAGTGGGGTGAGAGCCGCTCCTTTACCTGCGGGCTCTCTGGGCGCCCTTCCCTTCCTCCGCATGGGTGCTCAAGCGCCGCCACGCCTACATGGCTGTTGGGGCTGAGGTGGCCCCGACGGCACGTGGGACCGGAGGAGCAAGCCAAGTGCCTGAGGAAGGGAGAAGGCGGGAGGCCCTGCAGGGCGGGGGTCACCCACAAACCTCTCTTCCCACGCCGTGCGTTAAAAGCCAACCTGAAGAGGCCAAAGAAAGGGCGTGGGAGGCCACGGACCCTCCGGGCTGCTCTTTCCAAGAGAGGCTCAAGCCTGCCAACCCGGGAGCCTGTCCCCGTCTTTTTCCACTGCTCTCGAAACGCACCCGTCACCCAGGCCTCCGGAGGTCGTGCTGCGTGCTGCAGAGCCGGCCGGTTTCCGTGGAACAGGCTTCCTGGCAAAATCTTGGGTGCTTCAAGGGCACGTCCAGCCACCGGACAGTTTGGGCATTGTTTGTGGGTTGGCCGTCTTTGGTTTTTCTTTGAGCAGGTATTCAGAGAAGGGCCGTCTCTGTTAGGAGGTGTTAACGCGGTTCTTTCCAGTGATAAGAGTTCGGGTCGAGGGACACCATTTGGGACTTCCTTGTACCCTCCTTGCCAGGTGGGGGCCCTGATTTTGGAGCCTGCTGGCAGTCCCTTCCCTGTTCTGACAAACGCGACCCTTTCTTCCCCCCTCCCCCCCGATTTAGGTTCCCGCAGGAGCTTGCTGTTGGCAAAATCAGTGCTGAAGTCATGTGGAATCTCTTTGCGCAGGACATGAAATACGCAATGGAAGGTGAGCTGGCCGTGGGGTTCCTTGGCATCTTGGAGCCGCTTTCTGAATTCTGTGTCACTGCAGAAGGTCTTGCCCCGATCCCTGTGGGGGGATCCCCTTCTCCCAAGGGTAGAAATGGGGTGGAGCATCTGGGACGTTTCCATTCAGACCCTCAAGCAGGTAGAAGGAAACATCAGGGGAAAGTGAAGGGCACATTCAAACGCCAGCAGTATGGACAGCCACTGGGGGTTGGGGGGGGGTTGTCATCAGCCAGCTGGTGGCTTTCCGACTGGGTAGGCACGCCTGCTTGGGCAGAAGCCAGAAGGTGACCAGTAGCCACTATGGGATCCTGTCTGCCCAGCCGGGATCTGCCAAGGCTTGCAGTGGGTTTTCTGGGCATCCCTAGAAATATTTGAATGTGCTGTGCTCTGCCAGCTTCCCAGCATCTCTGTGGCATGTTGGCACAGAGCCGGGCACTCTTCGTCCCTTGAGGAGAGCCGTCGGTATTCGCTGCCAACACCGATTAGCCTCCAGGAGGGCATGTGATGACAGATGTGGCTGCCAAGGAGCAGCCTCTGCCCTGCCACTCCCTCCCTGGACCCAGACGGTTCTTCTTCTTCTCCTTGCGTCAGAATCCTTCGCGCCGGTGGCTGCGAGCCAGCCCCTCTCTTCCCCCAGCCTCGACCTGCCCTCCCCCCCCCCTCTGGTTCTCTCTGCGTCCCGCTTCATTCAGAGCAGCCTTTGGGGCACTTGTCATCGGAGGGACGGAGAGTGTGCCTGCTCTTCTTGGCCCCTCTTGAGAGGGTGCTGGGAAGGGAACCCTGCCCTCCCCCTGCCTTGACTTGGAGACACAGGCAAACGGCCCCCACCCCCCCCTTTTAGGGCTGTCCCTCCCATGACGCATGCGAGGGGCTCTGAGTTCAGAGGAGATGCTCTTCCTTTTTCTTCTGCCGCCTCTCTGCAAAAGGACCTCTCGCCTCGATAACGACACAGAAAACTCGAGCAAACCTTGAAGAAACTTGAATTGTTCTCTTTTTTGGGGGGGGGGACCGAGAAGTGAGAAGCATTTGTGAAAAGCCAGACCTTTACGTGCCGGACAGCCCTTAAGGAGGCCAGAAGGGAGCGCTCCAAGCAGGCAGGCAGCCCAGGTGGCCCCTGCTCAGCTCCGGGGTCCCAGTGGAGCCCAGAAAGGGGCAGGCCAGCGCTGGAGACGGGGCAGGGGGAGCAAGGGGGGGCCTTGGGCCACTTCCCCCCCCCCTTAAATGAGCTGGGTACTCTGGAAAAGAGACGCACAGCAGGAAGGCTGGCTTGCTCGGGTGTGGATACGATGTGGGTGGAGGTGCCCCCCCCGTCACCGCCACCCTGCGTCTTGTGTTTTGGTCAGGCAGAGCATGTTGTGGGCGAGGGTGAGGGTCATCTCTCTCCTGGGGCCTTGGTTCGATCTCCGGCCACCCCTCTGCTCTTTGATTTTTAAATGGGCCGCTGCAGGTCTTTGTCCCCCCCCTCAGAATCTGGGGACTCTGGCTTGGCCGTTAGACCCTTTGATCACACAGAATAGCTTCAGAGAGGGATTTGTGTTTGAGGTGCCCCTGGGGGCGGGGGCGGGGGGGCCTGGGCAGTGTGCAGAGCGGGGTGCTGCCCCACTCCACTCCGGGGCACGAGACGCTTGGGGCTTGTCCGGGTGGGATCCAAGCCCTTCCTAATGATGCTCCTCCTAATGATGACTGTGGTGTGCTTTTTGTCTCGTCCACCCGTTAAGTTCTGGATAAAACGAGTTCCCGCAAGGCATCACGTGGTAAGAGACTTTCCTGCGGAAAACCTCGTAGACTTGAGTCACAAAAGGCACGCCACCTTTTAGTGGAAACAGTAGCACACCCCCGCACCCAGCCCTGTATAGTGTTTTGTGGTCCTAGGAGTAGCGTGCAAAGGCTAGGGTTTGTGTGTATGTGTAAGTGTGTAAGCTGCGCTTCTTTGATTGGCTACGCTTTTATCTCCATGTTTCACTCCAAGAACTGGTTCTTGCTCTGAGCTGGCAAACGTGTTAAAATCACGTTCGCTTGTAAAGGCATGAAAATAGTCATGACAGTCAGGAAACATCACAACCCTTTGAAAGCCTCTTTTGTGAGACGTGTCTTTGCACTTTGAGACCGCCGGCGGCTTTGCGTAATCTCGCAGGGGCCCTTTCCATTTCAGCCGGGAGAACAGCCTCCCCTCTGCTCCCTGGAAAGAGAGAGGAAGGACGAGGGGCCACAGCTAGTCCTCATCTGCCCCCCCCATGTCGGTGGGTGGGTGGGTAGAGGGAGCACCTCCAGAAATGGGGGTGGGTGGGTGGCCTGGCAGGTGACCAGCTAACTCTGAGCACGGCCTCCCACGGAGACCTAGAGGCCACCCTAAAAAATGAGGGCATCTAGTTGAAAACTGCATTGTGTGTGTGTGTGTGTGTGTGTGTCTGTGTTATTTTTAGTGCTCTCCATCGGGACAATGCCTGTCCCTGAAAGGGTGAGGCCTGATGTTCTGCTGCTGGGTGGTGTGGAAGCCCCCCCCCCGGTTTCTTGTTACACCCTTTCCCCCTCTGCCCTGGGGCGGGGCTCAGCCTCAGCACCAGCCATGTCTGCAGGGGTTGGTGGGGTGCCAGCTCTGGCCGGAGGCATCTCTCTTCCTTTGCCCTCGGCTGCCAACAGGTCTGCTACCTGGGCGGAAAGTGAGGCCAGAGCCCTTTCCGGAAAAACATAAGGGTCTTTGGGGAGCGGTCTTCCTGGGCAGCGGTTTTGGCCCAAGGCAGGGCCCAAGGGCTTCTGCGCGGTGGGCAGGCATCACCCCCTCCCGGTGCTCTGGCCTAGCGCCTTCTCCCTGGCAGGGCCAGGGATCCTGTCCAGAGGGAGGGCTCCGGGGCGGTAGGGGCCACCAGGGTGGGCGTTCTGTGGCTCACTGGTCTCTCTTCTCTGCCACAAGCCCCGCCTGTGTTTCGCAGACGCATGGTGCTCTTTTATGGTGGTAAGAATCTCTTCTTTTTCTCCCCTGATTTGCTAACCGCAGGTCCTCCTTCCCTCCCTCCCGTGTAGAGGCCGTAGAGAGCAAAGGCCAAGGCGATGCCAGCTGACGCTGTGCGAGCGTCTCTTTCCCACTGTGGCCCATGGTTGACACAGAGTTGGCGCAGATGCTTGGCTGCTCCCGGGGAATCCCAGCCGCCTGCTTCTCCCCTTGCTTGAGGCATATTTTTCTCACTCCGCTTGTTCTCTCTCGCTGGACGTGTTATGGCCTCTACCCTCACCTGCCTTCCTCGCTGGAGCCGTAGCCCTTGTGCGTGCGCACACGCAGCGGCTCTTGGTTGTGCGCTCCTCCTCTCAGGACTTTGCTGGGCAAGATCAGCCTTCCGCTGCCCTGCGGGGGTCCCCCTCCTGCCCCTGCCCCACGGCCAGCCTTTTCCTTTCTGGCTTGAGCCCAGAGCCAGCTTTTCGAGGGGCTCGGTGTGGAAGCTGTGACCCTCTCGGCTTGGCCAGCCCTTCCCGGCGGCTGCCTCTCGGTCTTCACCCTGCCCTGCCGTCCTTCCGACATGGATTCAGGAAGATCTGGGGCGGTTTCCCCTCCAAGTGCCTTTGGCTGCCAGCTGCTGGGCGGCCAGAGGCATCACGCGTCGGAGTCAAGTCTGAGAGGCTGTTTCCTGCTTTCCCCCAAAGTATTGGGGTCCTGAAATTTAGGAGCTACTCACTCAACGGGAAAACAGTTTCTTTTAACCTGTGCTTCGAGGCAGGGTTGTGGCCGCAAAGAAGTGGGAGGTCGGCCGGCTGGCTGGCCAGCCTCCTGTGCTTTTCTGGGAAAGATTCCCACCCGCCGCCATGAACCCCACGCCCTGTGGAGTCTTTGTTCCGGTAGGAGGGGAGGAGTAAGACAATGGGGAAAGGGAGGGGAAGCGCTGATGATGCCCAAGGGTTTCTCCTCTTGGATGAGTCAGCCCGGAGACTGGGGGTGGTGGTGGTGTCCGGCTTTGTGGCCCTGAGCTGGGCGGGGGGGGGAGCTTTCCTGCCTCACGGGCTCAGCCACAGTTCTCACATTCTTTTCCATTTTCAAACTGCTCGTGAGATGGAGCTTCACTCCCCCAGGCTCTCTCTCGCTCTCTCTCTCTCTCACACGGTGAGATGGCACTTCACTCCCCCAGGCTCTCTCTCGCTCTTGCTCTCTCTCTCACACACACACACACATACACACACAAACACAACACTGTCACCAAAACCAAGCCCAGCTGGCTCCCCCCTGCCCTTCCCGAGCGCCCACACCCTTGTTATGTGGGCCTCTCGTCCCCATGGTGTGGCTGTGGGTCTCTCTCTCTCTCAAGTGGGAGGCGGCCACTGGGTGTTGATTTCCATCCTTGCTCCAGGGAAAGGGAAAAGGCGTCCAAGCCTGTGGGGTCGCCTGCCGGACGGACGGGGCTTGGTTCCTTCCTGATTCTTCCTTGTAGCCAAGCAGACATTCAGCTCTGCTTGGAAGGAGCTCACCGTTCTCCGGCTGGAGCCCTCGCTTCCATGGCGTGGCTCTGGTGGCCCAAGTATGAGAGGTGCACGCGCGCGCACACACACACACACGTGTCCTCCCCCACCCAGCCACCCACCCACTTAGATTTAGGCTTCTCCCCTAGGGTGCCGGGGAAGGGGGGAAGGAGACAACCTCTGAAAGCCGGCTGTTCCTCATCCTTGCACTCGGGGGGGGGGCTTTTAGGGGAGCCGCTGGCCGTCAGTGAGAAAACGTCAGCAGTCCTCTCTAAGCCCAGGAAACTGGGGCTGGACGGGGCGGGGGGCGCTAAGCTCGGTCCCTTTCTTGATAAAACGTGCCACCCAACCCATGGCTGCTTGCACGCCACGCCACCTGCGCCAGTCGGGTTTTGAGAAGGTTGCTCTGCTAACTCTTGGGGAAGGGAGGCTCCTGCCAACGGAGGAGAGAAGGGCCGGCGAGCGCGGCCAGCCCGGTGATGCGCCAGAGAGAGGGGAGCTTCCTGGCAGGGTTGCCTGGAGCCGGCCAAGCCGAAGGGGCCCCCTCGGCGACCGCCCGTGGTGTTGGCTTGTGGGTTGGACAACTCTTAAGAGGAGAGGCAAAGGGGGAAAGGGAGAGAGGAAGATTTCGGGAGGAGGAGAAAAGACACTCTTCGTAAAACTCTTGAGTGGCTCTGATGCAGCAGGTTTGGGGGCGAAAGTGGGTTCTCTGTGTGAGAAGAGAGAAAGCGGTGGCTGAGCGAACGTTGCAGTGGAGGCACAAAGCCCGAAGGCCACACCAAGGCGCCAGACCCTCTCCTGAAGCCTCGTGGGCTTGGCGCTTGAGCCAGAATGGGCTGCTCTTCCAAATGCAACGGGAGGGGGGAGCTGCTTGAGCTGCATGCCCCCCCCCCGGTCTGTGGCTCTTTTTCTCTCTCATTCTTTCCTCTGCTCCCCCTCCCCTCCGTGTGCAACTTTCCCACAGAGCACGAGAAGCACCGATTGTGCAAGAGCGCTGATTACATGAACTTGCACTTCAAAGTGAAATGGCTCTACAATGAGTACGTCTGCAGCCTGCCGGCCTTCAAGGAGAAAGTGCCCGACTACCCTGCGTAAGTCCCTCCACCCCCTTCACCCTCCAGCCCCCTTCCTGCCTCCCCCCAGCCTCTTTGGAAAGCATGGGGGTGCTGATTGCCCTTCCCATCCTGCCTTCACCTGCAATGGGCCAAGGCATTGCGTCCCTTCCTGGGGGCGGGGGGCTTGAAATGTCCTGGGGGTGGGTGACATGAGGCTGCTGAAGCCCGATCGCCCTCGGAGGCAGTGCCCTCCCTGTGCAGTGGCAGCGGGTGTCCTCTGTGGCTAGTGAGGCAGAGGGCATGGCAACCCCTGCTATGGGCAAGCAGAGCCAGGGGTTTCCTCGAGCCCACTGGGTCTTTGCATCAGAGAAGCTGCTCCGGCAGTCAGACCCTGAGGCTCTCTCTCTCTCTCTCTCTCTCTCTCTCTCTGGAAGGAGGCGGTGGCGGCCCTGAGATGTGACGGGGGGGGGTGGAGTCCCTTCAAGCTGGAGCCACAAAATAGTCTTGACGGAGCAATATTGTTGAAGGGAGAGAGGGGAGTTTGGGTGGTGCCTCGGAAGGGTGGATTTATTCTGTGCAACAGTAGGAGATAGTTAAGCCCTGTCCACTGAGTCTTTACTCCCGTTGACTCGCCTGGAGAAGAACTGCCACCCCCCTGCCTGAGCCCCGTCGTCCCCTCCCGATTCCAAACGCAGAAGGGCAATTCAGTGGCGTTTCAGATCCAGCACTCCACGTGGTGGGGTGACCTTGCTCTGCGCCTCCTTGTGCCTGCCCTCCCCACCCACCGGCCACCCGTAAACTCAGGGGAGTTTGCTGCGTTCCCATTGTCATCAAAGCAAGGAGCTGGGAGCGCAGCAGCCGGCTGAAAGGCTTCTCTTTGTCGCCCTGTTGCCATGGCACCTCTGTGCCACCGTCTCCCAGCATCTCCTGCGGCCGGGCAGGCTCCCCTTTTGAGACCTGGGGCCGTCACTGAAGCCACCTGCCCACCCCCAGCCACTTGGCTGCACCGAGTTGGGTGCCCACCGGGCGGCTGATTCGTTTGCTTTGCGAATAATGTGCATTTTGATCAGATACGGAAGACGCGAAAATTTCTCTGCTTTTGCTTTCTCTCCAGTGTCAGCAAACAAGTTAAGACAAACCGGAGCCTCCTCATAGCTAGAAACCCAGGCTCTGTGTGGGTGAGAGAGAGGCAGAGAAAACAATGCATCTAAAATGGGAGACACTTTGCATGTCGTCCCCCCCCCTCCATTTGCTTGCAGACTCTAATGGGGCCAAGAGAGAAAACGAGGGGGGGGGAAGGGAAGTGAGTCTGTCTCTGTTTCATTCCCTACACACGTCAAAAGTTTTCTCTCTTCTAGACGAGATTGTGAGAAGAATTTTAGTACTTTTTTTGGCATGTCATTAATTTTTTTCATTCAAAAGTCAAGAAATAAAAAGAAGACATTCAGATCACGTAGATTTTTTCTCTGCAAAATACAAAGTTTTGTAAAATAATATTTTTTGCTCATGTTGCTGCTGATGAAGGAGACACTGGTCTTCTGACTCTTGTGCAGGAGCAGAGAAACGAAAAAGTCTCGCAGCCGTTGACAGAGGTTTTTCTAATGAGCTTTCTGCCGAGACACCCCTTTTTTCCTGAGCAGAAGAAAAACCATGAGTTTTCACGGCATCCTGAAGAGAGGGCACCAGGTCCCGTCCCCCCGGCAGCCTCCGTGTCCAAACTGGCAGACCGAGCGCCGGTGACCCAGTCCCTTGTTGGGGTCCCGTGTCTCGCCGGAGAGGGCCGCTCTCTTCCGGCAGCCGTGCACTTCCTCGGCTCTGGAGGAGGCGTTGGACCGCTGTCCCGGGGAGCCCCTCCAGGGGACAAAGCAGCCTGGCTCTTGTGGGCTGGAGGGGGGGCTTCTTGCCTTTTGCCTCCTGCTGGTCCTGCAGTGAATTTGAGGCGATGCTTGTGGCTCCCTTCCCGTCCCCACCACAGCAACCCTCCCCATTGTGTTAGGTGGGGCTGGGAGAGAGGGACTGGCCTTCATCACCCGCTGAGCATCGGCCACATCTCAGCTCTTCGGCTGGAGCTCTGCGCCCCCCGGGCCTGGCTAGCTCTGCCCCCCCCATGGCCCTGGCAGGCCAAGAGTCTCTTCTTCCCCCTACACACCTCTGTGACACCCCCTCCCCTGTTATACTTCTGCGTGTTCTTGCCCCCCCAAAAAAGCTGTTGTACTCAGTGAGGGAACTAGTTTGGGGCTGGGAGGTGGGGAGCATTGATCTGAGGTCGCCGGCCTATGGTATCATCTCCCCCAGCTGTGGGCACAACGAAAGCACCTCTTCCCTCTGCACGTCTTGAACAATACAGGGAGTCAGAAGAAAATCCTCTGAGTTGTTAGGGAGGGAAACACCTTGTGCCTCACCTGACTTGGTTCCCCGCAGTACGTCCAGGACTAAACCTGGCCCTTGTGTCTTTGTGACAGTGACCGAGGCCCAGCCCCCCACCCCCCGCCACGGGGCATGGGGACGCTAAAACCCACCGCCGACCCTGCCCTTTGCAGGACGGGTGCCGAGCTGGCAGCTGGCTGGCTGGGGTACAGACCAGCGTTTGAGGCAGGCATTTTAACACGACATCAGCAGTCATTTCCTGCATTTGCCAACCTGTGCTTTTCTATTCTGAAGTGTGAAGGGTTATTTCAGGCTTCCCGGCAGGCCTCGGGGCTTGCTTTCACTCCCTCAGTCGTGTCTCTCACGTTCTCTGCAAATTTAAGCAGCCCATAATTAGCACCATTTGTACAAACTCGGCTGCAGGTTTGGAGGGGGCCGTAACGAAGCCGGAAGATCACGCATCGTGTAAGGCGCCTCTTGGTGGACGCTCTGCCCCTCGTTGGCAAGCATTTGGCTTGGCGAGAAGAGGCTGGCATTGCCTTCGCCCATCTATGCAGGTTGCTTTTCCGAGGCAAGACGCTTCATCCAGAATTTGTTGGTCTTCTTTGCCGCCCCCGGAGACAAGTGGGGCCCTGTTGGCCTCAAGTAGCCCACTGGTTTTCCTCCTTGAATTGAGTCTTAAGAACTTGGATTTTTAAAACCGGTCCTTAACTGGGTTTCAGTTGTGTGTCATTGATATTTCATGGATTTTGCAAGCCAGTGCTTGCAGACAGAGTCTATCCAGAATCACAGTGTGGATTTTGAGCTAATAGATCCACCACTGACATGGTATTCTCCCTCAAGACAGTTGCAGGAGAAATGCAGGGAACAACAGCAACAGCCACCCTTTGTGGACTTCATAGATCTCACAAAGGCCTTTGAGGTGGTTAGTAGGGATGGCCTTTTTAAAAGATTTCCTAAGATTGGATGCCCACCTCGGCTCCTTAACATCATCAGGTCCTTTCATGAGGGAATGAAGGGCACTGTAGTTTTTGACGGCTCAACATCAGATCCCTTTGACATCAGAGGCGGAGTAAAACAAGGCTGTGTCTTCACGCCAGCCCTGTTTGGGATCTTCTTTGCTGTCATGCTGAAGCATGCCTTTGGAACTGCAACCGAGGGTGTCTATCTCCGGACTAGATCAGATGGAAAGCTCTTTAATCTCTCCAGATTGAGAGCAAAGACCAACGTCCAACTGAAATGCATGCGGGACTTCCTCTTCGCTGATGATGCAGCCATCGTTGCCCACTCTGCTGAAGACCTCCAGCAACTCATGAATCATTTCAGCAAGGCCTGCCAAGACTTTGGACTAACTATCAGCCTGAAGAAAACATAAGTCATGGGCCAGGGTGTGGACTCGCCTCCCTCTATTACCATCCCCACGCAGGAATTGGAGGTTGTCCATGAATTTGTGGACCTCGGCTCAACCATCTCGGACACCCTCTCTCTAGATGGCGAGCTGGATAAACGCATTGGCAAAGCAGCCACCATGTTCTCTAGACTCACAAAGAGAGTATGGCTTAATAAGAAGCTGACGGCATATAGCAAGATCCAGGTCTATAGAGCCTGTGTCCTGAGGATACTCCTGTATTGCAGGGAGTCCTGGACCCTTTGTGCACGGCAGGAGAGGAAGCTGAACACCTTCCATATGCGTTGTCTCCAATGCATTTTTGGTATCACCGGGCAGGTGATTCCAAATAGAGTAGTCCTAGAACGAGCTGGAATTTTCAGCATGAATACATTACTGAAACAGCGACGTCTACGTTGGCTTGGGCATGTCGTGAGAATGGCTGACAGTCGGATTCCAAAAGATCTCCTGTATGGAGAATTAGTGCAGGGAAATCGCCCCAGAGGGAGACCCCAGCTGCGATACAAGGAGATCTGCAAGCGGGATCTGAAGGCCTTAGGAATGGACCTCCACAGATGGGAAACCTTGATCTCTGAGCATTCAGCCTGGAGGCAAGCGGTGCATCATGGACGCTCCCAATTTGAAGAGACCCTTGTCCAGCAGGCCGAGGCAAAGAGGCAGTTACAAAAGCAGCAAAATCAGGGAGCTGGACAGGGGACAGATTGGATTTGTCTTCATTGTTGAAGCGATTGTTGTCACTCTCGAATTGGCCTCCTCAGCCGCACTAGACGCTGTTCCAAGTCCTCCATACAGGGCACATTCCCATCGTCTCTCGAGATGGAAGGAGGCCTACAAGGAGAAGAGCCTGGGCTAAGAACGAAGAGGGTCTCTTGACTAAGCAGTGGCAGAGTCGGGCTGCAGAGAGCAGGATGCAAAGAGCACAGGAGGTGCCCTTTGCCAAGACAGGGCGGGGAGCGGGGGGATGTCTTGGGGGCTGGGCTTTAGCAGGACTTGCTTGGCATCCCCTTGGCCAGTGTCTCCTCCCTCGCCAAGTGACCGCTGGGTGGGTGGGTGAGTGAGGGGAGCAGACCTTCCAGGGGCGCTACAGAGAGCGTGGAGGAGCCGAGAGACCTGGCCCACCCAATAAGGCACGTTTCCCCATCCTCACACAGGTGGTTTGAGCGGTTTGTTATGCAATGGTTGGAGGAGAACGAAGATGTCTCCCTGGAGTTCATGCACGGAGCCCTGGAGAGGGATAAGAAGGATGGGGTAAGTCTTGGAGGTGCCGGGCTCCGGACGCCCACGAGGCCGCTTGAAAGGGAGCCGGAGCCGTCTTGGCCCGCAGAGATCGACCGTGGCTCCCACTTGGGAGGATGTGTTAGGGTAGGGAGATGTGTTAGGGAAGCTGCAGTGGCACCTTCTTGCAAGAGAAGACTTCTTCAGAGGTCCTTCCCTGCTTACTCTAGCTGCCATCAAAATGACCTCAGCAACTGACATGGGAATGATCCCAGGGATCTGGAGTTCTGGGTACAGGCTGGGAGGAGATGTGGTTGCCGCTGGTGTTTGAAGAACCTTTCTCTGGGTTCCTTCTCAAAGGATCCCTTCCTTCATGGGGGGGAGGGAGGCGAGGGGGGGGTGTCTGTTGCACAGGGTCAGAAAAGGGCTTTCCACCGGGAAGGTCTGGAGCTCAGCATCCCTGAGGAAGCTCTGCATTTTGCTTACCCAAAGGGCCCGTGGTGTATATGAAGGCAGTCGGTAAAGAACTGCCGTAAAGGAACGTTCTTGTGCCAGAGACATGCCGGAGAGCTGTTGCTCCGCAATCATGGAGCAGCAGAGGTGGAAGGGGTCCCCCAGGAGCCACCAGGTCCAGTCTTCTGCTGATGCAAGGAATCTGTTGCCCGAGCATCCCTGACAGATAGCTGTCCTGCCTGTTCTTGGAACTCTCCACCCCTGAACAGCTATTACTGTCAGGAGAGGTTTAGTCAAGAGTCTCCTTTCTTGTCGTTTGAACCCAGGACACAGCCTTTGCCTGGACAGTGTTTGGCCCTGGGGTCTGGGAGTGAGGGTGTCGCAGCCGCCGACACTCTTCACCTAACCCTCAGCGGGGATTCTGTCTGCCTTCTTGTTTTGTTTTGCTTTGGCTTTAGTTCCAGCAGACTTCGGAGCATGCCCTCTTCTCCTGCTCGGTGGTCGATGTCTTCACCCAACTCAACCAGAGTTTTGAGATAATCAAGAAACTGGAATGCCCAGATCCTGCCATTGTGGCCCACTACATGCGGCGCTTCGCCAAGGTAATGCCCCTGCCGCCTCTTCCCTGGCGCTGGGCTCCTCGGTGTGGGCTCCGACTCCCTTGGTGGTGCCGCTCATAAAGAGTTGGGGGTAACGAGGCCGATCTCCTTGCAGACCATCGGGAAGGTGCTGATGCAGTACGCGGAGATCGTCTCCAAGGGCTTCCAAGGCTTCTGCTCCAAAGAGAAGGTGGTAAGTCCTTCCACTCCACTTGTTCCCAGGCGTCAGGTGGGCAATGTCCTTCTGCTGCAAAGCTTGCAGGGGAAACCGCCTGGCGCTGCCGTGGTTGTGGCCTGGCGCACCTTTCAGCCAGTCTTGATGGAGGCGCTTCGGTGTGGCTTGGTGTATCAGCAACCGGCATGTCCCTGAGAGATCCTGGGGAGCTTCCCACAGGATCCTGTTGAGATCCTATTGCCGACCGATTTCCCCAAGCAGGCAAGCCACGGCCGCCTTGACCAGGTCTCTGTACAGACAGAGCAAAGCTGTTGCAGCTTGAAGGGATTCAAAGCACCAGGCAGTATCTCTCCCTGCTAGCAGGAAGGAGCAGGAGGCGGCGGCTGGAGCCTTAGCATGCCCTCGGGAGAGGGGCGAAGGTCTTCCTGGCCTGGCCGAGGGTCCATTGCCTCCCGTCCCCTTGTGAGCCAAGAGCCCCAGAAGACTGTTGTTCGTTTCTCCTGGCAGAATCCTGCCCCCAGCCCTCCTGAGGGCACCGTGCCCTGGGGCGCACCTCTTCCCGAGTCCTCTCACCTGCCTCACCACCCAGGAGATTTGCCAGTTGGGATTCCTTCCAGCCACTCAGCTGGGGCTTCTCTGCCAAGCAGTAGGAAAGCCGGAAAGAGGGACCTGTAACCAGCCTGCCCCCCCCCCGTTTTCTGGACCCGCTTCTTCTCCCCGAGATGAGGACGATTCCCCATGACCAGACTTGTTGCCCGGACCTG